GTTGGCGCTGACGATAACGTCGACGGTATAGCGAACGTTGATGTCAACATACTCCGGGTTGCGACCTAGCATCGATCAGACGCGAGCTGCATCGCGCAGGAACTCGTACGCACAGAGTGGAAGTCCAACGAATACTCGGTTACTGGTGCGACAGACTACGCGTGAGAGAGGGTCCACGACCGCCATAGTGGTCCATTCTGAACGAAGGATCATCAAGCGTTGCACGGTGGGATACTCTTCACGTACCGTTTCCATGCAGCTTGTTTGTGATTTCGTCAGAGAATGCGGCGTCGATCTCTTCCACGACGCTCGGGAACAGTCCCGGGAGGCTGCGAGTAAGACGTGTCTTGACGAGACCAATGTGAAGGGGCGTTTCATCGCGCCAGTCGCCCAGTGTGTAGTCGGATTGGATCCCCTGCAGGTAAAAGTAAGATTAAAAACCTTCCTGCAAACGAAGAGCAAGAGCGAGTGCGCACTATAGCCGTTGCCTCCCGGAAAGACAGCACATCGTCAGGCGCTTTGCGCAATTCGTCGATCAGCGTCGGCTTTGTAAGAGTTATGTAAGAATAGAAAGTGGAACTTAACAGCTGCGTCCACTACGTACGCCAGAGACGATGAGCTGCCAATCCTGGAACGCCCGAACTTTGAAGACGGTCGAGTAGTACTAGACGTTCAGAATATGAGCGCATGCGAAGCAAGAGTAGTCGACGCACCTTGCGGTATCCCTCACCGACCCAGTCCTTAAGTGACTTGATCGAGCGCATGCTCGCCAGTTGGCCAGCGAACGGACCCGTGCCGGCGCCGACGACAGGGATCTGCGCTGGTTCAGCCATTCAACGTGCTGACGACAACACCCGTCACATACGTCCGCCTTCTGACGTCCCAGGGTACTGGCAGCTAGGGCCGTCGCGAGTATGAGCCCGCCCACCGCGAGCGTGGTCTGGTCGAATGTGAAAGACATGAGGAAAAGAGACGAGCTGCAGCAACGCCGCGGTTGCACGCCTTTAATGAGGTTCTGATTTGCCCCCTCGGCGGCCGACGAATCAGGACGTGTGCCCGCCCCGTGCTCTGGCTTCCTTGACGGCAGGGTGACAACTTCTCCCGAAGAATCCCTGGGTGCCGGAGAAGTCAGCTGCGGCCAACTTCGAAAGTCTAAATGTACGCGTTACGATGTACGAGGAACTAGATACCTTGAACACGACTTTTCTTTCCTCAGTCGCAGGCGAGTATTTGGGCGTTGTCCGCGTAGACGAAACCGGGGAGGTCTATCTCGGCGCGGCATCAATATCGAGGGAGGAGCGGAAGCAGACAGGGCAGGCAGCGGGCGCCGTCGCTGGCCAATGCTCGCGGTCAAACGTTGCAAAATGATATCCACGGTTCTAGTTGCTGGCGGCGCTGTGCAACTGGACCGGCGAACTAGCGGGGACGATCCGGGCGCCGTGCGGGCGGAAACGTCGAGAGCATATTTCTGGACGCAATACGACATTGGGTTGTAACCGTACCATGGAATTGGCGTGACTCAAGAACACGACTTGGAACGTCACGAGAATGCCGGCGTACGTCGTAAGGAAGCGGTCCGTGAATGAACAGTCAAGACGGTACGACTGGTCAGCAAGACCACATCGCAATGTGACATCGCTGGGTCGGACTGCGGGATCCCAGGTGAACAGGCCGGGAAATCGAAGCCGTGCCTTTCGTCGCTGGAGGTTGACACGAGCGTCACAGTGCGCAAGAGGTATATTGTCAACTGGGGCGCAGCCGTGCTTCGGGAAGCGCGTCTTCAGCCTCACGCAAACTTGGATGACGAACAGGCAGTCGTGAAAGAAATCGTAGTCACCCATCCTAAAGAATTTGCCAAGCAATACGCAGCGTAAAATCCACCGAAGTCGAATGGCGTAGTCCAAGCGCCAGCCGAGTCACCAGTTATCGCCGCCAGAACAGAACGCCGCAGCCGACGAAGACACTAGCACGTCGCTATACATAGCCTAGAGGAGTTGCAGGTGATAGGTGCTGCTCGTGTCCAATATATCCGTTCACGGCGCAGCATTGTAGCATGGAGAAAAAAAAGCGAACGCAAAAAAAAGTGGTCGGTGAGCACAAGTCTCGACGGTGCAGCTGATCCTCATCGCAGTAACTTATGATACCCCATTTCCGGCTATGGAGAGAGCAGCAAGGTACACGGGACAGACATAGCAGTTTTCGCTCGACAGGAGCAGAGCAAAGAGCGTGGGAAACCGGACACGGGAAATCGCGAACGTGACGCGGCTCTTCGGCTTGCAGGACTGATTATTGCATATGATTCTCTTTCACGTGAACATCTCACTTTGAACACAATGTCTGCTCTTCTAGCAGTGTCATGGATACATTGGAACCTCATTACGCTTCCGCGCCAGACCTAAATGGGTCTGGAGAAGTACTCGGATAAAACTTCCAAAGCTGGCTTTTTTCTCCATTAGCGGGTGCGTAGGTGACCTGAACTTCTGGTAAGTCGCACGTTACGTCTCTCTGGGAAGGTGTACATACATGGTTGCCATCCGTGAGAGTCCAAAGCCGGTCTTCGTTCGGCGCCTTGATCTGTCAATGTGGTCCACGAAGTGAGCTTCGCGAAGACGTAGAGAGTACGGATTGGGACCGACCACGTAGGTGTTGTTCCCAGCGTCATCGATGCGTACGGAGAGAGCTTGAACCTCACGGTAATACGTGAGGAGCCTGATTAGCTTCGTAGACTAGAACACGCCTCAGAGTTTTGGGAGACATCCCGCAGCGATCTAGACGTACGTTGTCAAACGTCACGGCAGAGTCGAAGAGCAACAGGTGCGGGTAGTACGTTCCGTACTCGCCGACCCGAAAAGTCCACTATAGTAGAAACGATGAGATGTGTTCCCTCGTCGTCGAAATCCGCACCTTGAAAATTTCATCGCCGTTAATCACGGTGAGAGGGGAAGGGGCGGGGTCTTGCGCAGCCAGGCCGCCGCCGTTAGCAACGTTGACGATGCCGAAGTAGTAGTTTGGAAGGATGGAGTGTAAATCGCGCTTAGAAGGCGAAGCCGTGACCGCAGTGAAACCCAGAGCGAGCAGTACAGCGAAGACGACGGCCATGGAGACAAGACTGCAGGAACGGACAGTGAGGACTGCGGCTTTATATATAACGAGGGTGTCGATCCGTGGCTGTTGACTGTCAATGTGGCACTGTAGACCGTCAACAGCGCCGTATCATCCTAGAACCTCCTGTGAAATCGCGCTACTACACAGCTGCACAGCTGACATGATCGACCTGCTCGTCGCGAACATCAGGTGAAGTAACCTTCAGAAACGCGGATGACGCATTTCCAGTCATTGTACCATTCAGATCCCCTGAGTATTGTTAGAATGCGCGAGAGGGAGCGAGAGACAGCGGGTGAAAGGTGCAGGGGTCACAGTGAACGTCCTTGAAAAAAGCAGGGTCGCAGGCGAGGATCATAAACGCGTCTGCACCACAATGACCCTCATCAACAGCGTTACGAGACGTCAAGCAGCATAGAAGGTCTAGAACGAGTACTAGAAGAGACGCGACGATGCCGCAGAGGTAAGATGATGCAATAGAGTAGCGTAGTCGCAAACTGCGTAGAGCGGTCCAAGACGGCGAGAGGATCCGCGGAGGTCTGCGGCAAAACCAATGCGTAGGTCCAGACAACGTCAGACCGTCTCAACGGTGCACTACAGACGGTCGACAACGTCGGCGAAGATCCTTCTGTGCAGACCACTTTCGAGACGTCCGAAGGATTGACAGAGCTGATAACTACCTCTTAAGCGGAGCAACCTTTCGCGCTCCTTGAGGATTGTGATCAGGTGCTTCTTGTCGTATCGTACGTACCATGGAGAGCATGTAGACCGTTCTGATGGAGAAGTGAATTTCTGCTTTCATAACCGCGACAGGAACGCTGCGTCGCTGCCGCAGACGAAAGACAATAAAGCTTAAACTGGAGTCGCTCTGCTGCGCTATGCGTCTAGATCTGGGAAGCTGTGAGAGTGCAGCGAGACAACTTGGGGAAGCGCCTGGAGATCCAGAAGCAGGCTCAGCAGGCCACGGCGATAGTAAAATGACGCGCAAGAGCAGTACCGTCGCGGATTGACGTGTCCTAGAGTGTGACAGGACGTGCTGATGCGACAAGGAATCGAACGTGCATCTGTAGCGCAAATCCGGCGACCGTGGACAGCTGCCAGTAACCAGATTCGACAGACGCGGGATCTGGGCAGAATAGCGTGCTCGTTGTGTCGTATAGAGATGGCCACGCTAACAGCTCCGAGCACTACGCGCACACGAGGGTAGGAACCAGCTCAAAAAGAAGGCGTCTACGCGCGGGACGCAGGTCGCGGACACGACGCGCACCTCGTCCTCTGAAGAGTATCGAGCATGACTGGACGCAGCGAAAACGAGCGCATGGACGGCGAAGAGCGGGCTCGTCTCGACGTGGGATGACAAGGGAAGATTGGTCGTGTTTGCTCGGGCTCCTTCCGGTTCAAGTGCCCGGTTGTCCCGAGTTGGTCCCGCGTTCGGAGGGCTATAAAACACGCGTTGTTCACTTGGAAGAGTGGACACCAGTGAAGTTGCTCTCATCATCTGCTTACATTCTCTACATACTCGTGAGGGGTCGTCTCTTACACTCTCAGTGCCTACCTCACTACCTCACACTTTTGCCATCGGGTGGCAGCTTCTACAGTGTGAAGCGACGAAATCGGCGTCATCCCTGTCCCACGCGGATTCAGAGCACTCAAACACGAGCAAATATCTTGTCGAGCGCTCCTTCCCGCCAACGTGCCGCACGACCTCGCACTGGTCATAGTTGACTATAGGTACTAGGTGCATGTTGCATATTCCACTGAGGGGGGGGGGGGGGGGGGGGGGGGGGTGGAGAAGGTATTGAGCTGCTGACTTCAGAGGGAGGGGCCGTTTCGCTCAGACTCAGTGTGACTTTTTGCTTCGGCTGTGTTATACCTGTGCAATTCCGACGTAGATCAAGGCCTTAATAGCTCAGTGGTAGAGCGCGCCACTCGTAATGGTGAGGTCCGTCGTTCAATCCGGCGTTGAGGCATACTTTTTGGTTCCCTGAGTAATCCCCCGTACATAAGTTGTTTTACTCTCGTGTCTCGCTGTTGTACAAAATTGCCGTTCTCCGATCTCCTTCGATATCTGCCACCGGCGGCATCTTACCGTATACGCCGTGAGCTCCGCCTCATCCTCGTACGTCGTGATGTATCCCCGCTGTGCTTACCCGCTGTATGGCTTTGCAGTGTTCTTTGGGACAAACTCTGAGTTTGACGTCCTGTCACTCTGGCAGAACCGTTCCGAATTCCCGATGCGTTCCTTTCCAACCGACCGCCACCATTCTGCGGACCGTCTCTTTCGTCGTTGCAGTCTACGCTGGACTTGCATATGGAAGCAGAGTACCCAGCGCGTCCAGGGCCTGTCGCGCCTAAGACGAAAGTGTTCAATCAGCGCGGTTCAGCGTTGACTCTTCCTCATGTCGCGCTGAAGCTCTAGCGCATAGGTTGGTCGACTAATATTGTTCTACAGCTTGCGCGGACCGTTGCGTTTGTTGTTGCGACTGCCTACAGTCGTTATGGTGGTCGAGTGATGAGCGATCGAAGTACAATTGCATGGCACTCGTTTCGCCCGCCGGGACAGAAAACGGGTATACAGAACTCTCTTCACAGCTCACACAGTCTCTGGCGCCGCGTATCTATGTCCCGATTTTGAATGTTCGTTACTTCGCTGAAGCCGTCCGTGTCCGTCTCTGGCCTGCCCCGTGAAATCTCTGTCGTCGCGTTCTGGAAGGCAATGGATCCCTCTGCATTGACTCCTAGGTCGGCCCTCTGCTCTGCGCGGCGTCAGGGTACTAATCATTCTCTCCTTTGCAGTATTCTTCATATCTGCGTGTCACCTGCTTGCCACGAAATGACACTGGCTCTCTACAATACTTCCTACTGGATCTCCCTCTCGGGACATTTAGAGCCTCGTTTATCGCCGTGCTTCCTGCCTGACTCGTAAAACGCCTCTCCGTTCACCACTTGACCGGTCCTCGCGCATACCTCACTCCCACGACTTTTTAGTAACTGGAGCGCTGCGCCCGGCAAAAATCAGCTGATTGTTCACGAGTGCCCCTAAAGTTCTCCACGGCGTTGCGTCATTGATTCCTTTCTCTCTGTCTTGCGTCACTCGAGGGAGCTTGAACTTCTATGGCAACCTGACGACAGACTCAGTTCCATCGGTCGCCGTCGGTGGCAGTATCGGAGATACTGGACGACCGAGGTGTTACTATGTGCAGGGTCGCGGTCGTGCATGAGCGCCTGCCTGATGCAGATCATGGAGGTCAGGTGAGTGCTCAGAGGCGCATTTTCTACACGCTGCAATGACGCCGCCGAGTTCACTCCCTCGTCGACCCTGGACCTGCTGGGGATCGGAGAAATATTTAGCTCGGATGGCGCGGAAGGCCGGGCGCTTGTTCCATTTCGTTTCCGCCCGCAACCCTCTTTGCCATTTCATCCCCCCACACGGCGCGCCCGTTGTCGCTCGTTTCACCTTCCTCTCCATGAGCGCGCCCATACCGTCCGCAATGCGCTCTCCCAGCCAGATGCGCCGCATGACGACGGCTGGCCAGCGCGTGTTCGACATCACGGCGCTGCCGTCGTTCTCGCACTCGCTCGACCAGTTCCCGTCTATGTCTGTCGTCGACCCGGCCATGCTGCACTGGGGCGGCTGCGAGCCCACGCGCGAGGCCAACCAGAAGAAGGTGTGCCTTGTCGTCCAGCGTCCAGCTCGCGCCACATGACGACCCGGACTGACCCGCAGTCGCCCGCCCCCAGTTCGTGCAGGTCTTACAGCGCTCGAGCATCGTCATCGCGTCCTCGTCCGACGAGGAAGACGACGCACCCATCAACCGCGTAAGCAGAGGATCGTCGCCGACTAGCTTGGACCGCGCCCTGACTCGCCCTTGTGCCCAGTTACGCCTCACGCCGATACACCAAAACTTCCCGCCGACAACAGACAGACTCATGGCGGGCGACCTGCGTCAAATGTCTATGCCGACTCTACAAACGCGCTCGAGCAGCGGCTCGTCCTCTGCCTCGTCCGCGCTGCCCACTCCCCCTGAACGGCTCGTCTCGGAAGCCTACTTCTGCCCGCTGCCGGGTAGCTCGCTCTCGTCGTCCAACACTACGCCGTGCCCGACGCCGCGCACGCACCGCTCGCAGCATACCTCGCCGGAACGCGCGCCGGCGGCGAGACGGTCTGGGTCCATCCCCCGCGCTGACAAGACCAAGCCCAAGACCAAGACTAAAAGCGTCGCGGCGGCGCGCAAGGACAGCATGTTCAGCTTCAGCTCTGACACGGACTCGGACGAGGAGTACGACCACGACGACGAGGTCTGAGTCGGCCCCCGCGCGCATCAAACGCGTGTCGCCGTCCCTGACGCTAGCAAAAACTATCGCGCTCGCCATCGCGCGCGCGTGCTCCTTTCGTTCGTTTTCCCCTCCACCAGTCCGGTTTTAGTCTCGTTCCACGATCCATCCACGCGCGCGCACCATCCATCATCCATTCCTCGAACAATCCACGCATTTTCTCCTCTGCAGTCTCAGTCTCAGTTCTCGCATCATCATCACGACACCGCACGCAATCCATTCCATTCCGTCTTACTCTATCATTGGGACTATTGTGTCGTCACGTCCGTCGTAGTTTTCCCGTTTCCGTTTATCGTACAGGTTCATCCTTTTTTGTACGCTACATCACACCTCCTACCTACATACCTTCGCTCCCCATCGTCGTAATTCGACTTGTCTCGTCTTGTCGCAGTCGCTTGTTGTTTCTGTCTGACCTGACTGACAGGGAAGCTCGAGCGTGTCAATGCGCGGTAGGTAGGTAGGTAGGTAGATTCGGAGCTGATGGGCCTACAAAGACTGCCTCCGCTTCGGAGTAATACATGACGCCACGACGTACACGACGAGACATTACATGTACTATCCGGAAAACCAACCCTCCCACCCAATGTGACAACCTTGTTTGACGGGGCCGGACGCGTGGCTGTGCCTGTTCAATTTGCTCATGGCTCCAGACCACCCTTTCTGGACTCTTTCTGCGCTCATAGAGTGTACAGGTGCGACCTGTTACGTCTACTACCGCCGACAAACGTGCAGAGAGAACTGTCCCCTCCTCGTCGGCCTTGCGCACGCGCCGCCCACATTAATTGCTTACTATCGCTCCTAGACGATGCATCCCACATTTGACGAAGATCAGTTCTGCGTCTATTGTCTACTTGGTCTCCTCTGTTCTATGGATATGCGCCAAGTGCGCGGGACGTACGGCTTGAGCTGCGCGGGTTTTGTCGTGCATGTCACGCCGACCTCCTCTGTCAGCTCTAGAACATGCATCGGGAAATAGCAATAAAGGGGAGAGGCATAGCGTGTGAACGGCATTCTTCATGCCTCTCGATCGGTTGGGAGGCATTACTGTACATCTTGTACGGGAGTTCTCCATGTTGCGTGAGTTTAGGGTTGCTGTAGAGTATGAAAGCAGATGATGTGAGCGAATCCGGTACACTGTTTCTCGTCACTTCCTGCAAGAGGTCGTGGATTTTATAGCAATTGGAACGGGACGGAGCCGGCGCGGTGTATATATAGTAAACATGGTCACATACCTTCCCTTCTCATCCCAGTCCCACGTCGTGGTCAAGATGAGTTCCTTTTCGCGGCCCTTTCTCTCTACCAGTACTTTGGCAACACGGCGCTCAGATGACAACGCGAATGCTGAATCGCCAAGCACGCTGTCTCGGGATGGATTGACGCTCCTCAGTCGTCGTCTGTCTGTGTACCTGAACGTCCACGTCTACCGTACCGCTCTCTCACCGTTACTTACCGATGTCGCACGTCTGGACCTCTGTGTGCCTTGCATAACACCACGCCCGCTAACCTGTCGCTCGTCTCATCAAAAACACCAGCTCTCCGTCTCGTCTTCTGGACCATGATGCGCCTTCTCTTCTTCGCCCTCGCGGTTTCCCTCGATACAGCAGCGGCAGCAGCAATCATCCCTGGCGCACAGTACTTCATCTACAACGTCGCCAATAACGGTCCTCTCGCCGTAGACGTCGGATTTGCGTCGTTGCTTGAGGCGAATCCGGAGAACGTTGCCACGCAGGTACGCCTCGCATCGCCTTGTCTGTGCCTCTGATCGCTCGCTTGCTGACTATCCTGATAGTGGATTCCGCAGCCTGATACGGAGTTGGGATCGTATAGACTCTTCTCCCCTGCGTTACAGAAGGAAGTGACTTTGGACAATGTACGTTCCCCGTCGTCGATCGCGAGCTCAACCAACACCCTACGCAACGCAGACGCTCCAGCTCCTGAGACTTGGGCGCGCGACCGACAAGTCGGTCGTAGTGCGCATCGATCAAGCTGGGCTCAACAACACCTTTGTTGTACGTTACGTCCTCTGCTGTGGCCTGTCCCGTCGTGGCTGAAACGACTCTGGTGACAGATCAAAACGCCCAACGAGAACAGCGTATGGACGCTCACGGGACACGGACAAGTACGCGTCTCTTCGGTGATCAGTCCAGGATGGCACTCTAATACCTGCAATGTACAGGTCGGGTACGCGCCTTCAATTGGCGAGCAGAAGCAATTGTGGAGATTTCGGTTGTCTGAAGGTCCGGGTGCGGTTGACGCTTGACAAACTGTTTCGCCTGTTCCGATTCGGCGCAAGTAAAGAAATTGTGCAGTTTTATGTCCGATCATCTCGTCATACTGCACTTTCCGCCGTCGTAAGTTATAATTAGTTGACCTTCGCATATGTCATGTCCTCAGACGGGCGTTGCTGCTACCCTTCCTCCCACTAGCCGTCTACCTACCTGCCTACGAAACTCATCTCTCCCTCACTGCGACTCTGATTCATCGTCCCCGGCTTGCAAGTGACATCCTTCTCAGGGGCATAATACTGCAATCGGTCAGTCGGCGTCATTCTTTTGTGTTCATGCCTGGGAGCGATCATAGCCTGGGACCCGACTCAGGGAATCCGGGCTCGGGAGTCAAGTGGTTGCGTGACTGT